GACCCATGTTCACCTACCCGACAGGCCTGGCCTTCAGCCCCCCTCAGCTGATGGCGCGGGGGCTCCCGCTCCGCGAGGTCCCCGAAGCGTCCGAGGACCCGCGGTCTGCGGAGAGCTCTTGCCCCTTCCTGCCCTGTTTGACCGCTAGCTCTAGCTTGAGGCAGGGTGGCTTTGTGTCGGCCGCACTTTCCGGACGGGTCCTGAGACTCAGGGGAGTCCACCTCTCTGAGGGCCCGGGGGAGGAGCAGGGACTCGATTGCAGGGACGCCGGCTCTGTCCGGGGTAAGGCTGGCTGCGGATCTGGGTCCTGCTCCCCGCCCCGTCACTTCACAAACCTTTGCGGAGAGCCGCGGGCACTGCTGGCATGGCGGGGATACATCCGTGAATAAGACAGACACCCAGCTCCTTTTCGAATGCAGTCGCCCTTGACCACTAGTTGTGTGACCTTGATCTAGGTTTTGCGTAAGATTGGAATAATACCCTCATTCAGCTGTGAGGGTGAAGTGAACAGAGCCTGTGGCTCTGTCCATCAGTTTTTCTGAGATTCAGCCTTCTTTCCAGTATGCCTGCAGCACATGGATAGATACTGAGAGCCACAGTTGATGCATATGGTGCATACATGACCAGATGCTATTCTGAGTATGCTATCATGTCTAGACGTGTCACAGCACGTCCTGGACACACGAAGGTAGATCGAGGACATACACCTTGTGACTGTGCCCTATGGAATGTGCTTCAGTATACACTGCTTACGTTAGGGTTTCTCAGCCTCTGCACTGTTGACATTTTGGGTTCTGATCATTTCCTCAGGTGTGTGTGTTTCTTATGCTTTATAAAGTGTTTAGCAGCACCCCTGGCCTGACCCCTGAGGTACTGGTGGCACTCCCCAAGTGGTGGCAAACACAATGTCTCCAGACATTGCCAAAGGTCCCCTTGGGGCCCAAATTACTCCCTGTTAAGAATCACTGGCTTATGAGAAAGTACATGTGCCATTTGCACATAGTATGTGCATATAACATGAGACCTTGTGAACATTTTATAGTATTTTACAGTAGTGGATAACATTTTTTTAAAATATATTTTTATTGATTTCAGAGAGGAAGGAAGAGGGAGAGAGAGAGATAGAAACATCCATGATGAGAGAGAATCATTGATCAGCTGCCTCCCGCAAGTCCCCCACTGGGGATCAAGCCCACAACCTGGGCATGTGCCCTTGACCGGAATCAAACCTGGGACCCTTCAGTTCGCAGGCCGACGCTCTATCCACTGAGTCAAACCGGCCAGGGCAGTAGTAGATAACATTTAACAGTGTGCCAGGTCCTAACTTGAGTGCTTTACATACTTTACCTCATGTAACAATGACTTTATGAGACAGGTACTATAATTATTCCCATTTTACAGAGGAGTAACCGGAGGCTCAGAGAGAGAGAGAGAGAGAGAGAGAGAGAGAGAAAGAGAGAGAGAGAGAGAGAGAGAGAGAGAGAGAGAAACTTGCTCAGGATCTCACTTAGTAAGTGGAGGAGCTAGAATTTAAACCAGGCAATGTGAAGGCAGTGAGAATGAGGAGAGAGAAAAAAAAGTAACATAGTCCACCTGGAAAAAGAAAGAAGAGCCCCTCCAGAGGGGAGAGCAGAGGCTGCCATGTACAAGGGAATGGGAGTTCACCAGGCCAACAGCAGGGAGAGGCAGTTCAGTCAGTGGACATGGCAGGTACCATAGCCTAGAAATACAAGAAATCACAGCATTTTCCTTCGCCGAAGAAAGTATTGGGAAGTGGCCAGAACAGAACCGTCCTCTCTAAATGGAAAGAAGAAGCAAGCTAGTCATGGGAGCATTGCCCATCATCCATTAGTGGGAGTATGTGGAGGACAGTGTCCTCAGTGAGGATGAAAGTCAGTCCTTCAGGCCCCAGAGACACTTTTCATCTCTGTTAAGCCCTCACACAAAAGCTGTTGATGTTTTGGAGCCTATAAATAAATTTCTCCTTCTGTTATAAACTTTGGCCTTGGCATAGAAACAGAAGTAAAACTGAAAACACAAATCAACCTCTAAATTTTTCATTTCAAAATTCACTTCCCAATTCAACAAATTTCTAATTACATGAAAAACACAGTATATAAACTTGAAGAGTTACTCCTTAAGAATCTCTCCTTTAGATTCTTAGTTTATTGAATCCTTATGGTGGCCCTAAAGTGACTTATAAACTTGTAGGCTGTCATACCAATCTGTTTTGCTGTAACCTGAGTTTCAGTAAGCTTTTTTTAAACTGTAGAAATCACATAAAAAGCTTAAAGAGCCCTGACCGGTTTGGCTCAGTGGATAGAGTGTCGGCCTGCAGACTGAAAGGTACCAGGTTCGATTCTGGCCAAGGGCATGTACCTTGGTTGCGGGCACATCCCCAGTAGGAGGTGTGCAGGAGGCAGCTGATCGATGTTTCTCTCTCATCGATGTTTCTAACTCTCTATCCCTCTCCCTTCCTCTCTGTAAAAAAATCAATAAGATATATATATTAAAAACCCCCCAAAAAAACAAAACATAAAAAAACCACTGGTTTAATTCATCCAGAGAACATCCTGATTAAAACCCCAGTGTCCAACTGAGGGCTGGTAGGTTATCAAGAGGAGACTCTGCTGAGCTCAATGGCAATTCTTCTAACTCCTGGCCAAACTATGTAAATACTGACTACAGGTGGGCAGATGAGACCAACTGGAAACAAATCAAGGCCTAAACGTGAAAGCCACAATCTGCACTGGAGAACTGGGAGTGAAGGGAGGCGGCAGTCACGGAGTCCTAACTGTGGGAGCCCACCCACCACTGTCCATGAGCTCAGGGTGCAGAGAAAGTGGGAGTGGGAAGCTCAGAA